CCCCAAAACCCCAAAACCCCGCGATCCTTAATTAATTGAAGAATTTTTGAAAGAAAATATTAATTTTACTCTATATTTAAAATAAACTTTATAAATTTAGATAATTAGACTGCATACTAACTTATTTACTCTATCGAGTTTTTAAAGCTTATACTTTTAAATACATAATTGCAGGACTTCAAAGAATAGCGAAATAAGTGCAATTATAAACATCTCACACTCTGCTATTAATTTTTTGGGAAGATAACTGCATTGGAGCGATACCCTCTCTGCTCTAAGGTCGGCTAGAAGTTTTAGTCTTGCAAAAAAGGCATTTGTTTATATTATCTCCTGACCCTTTGCTGTTTGTTTGGTAATATTCATTCATGAATTAGTCCTAGGAATTTTAGTTTTACTGCCTTGTGTTGCTATTATTATGTTCTCTACTGCTGTTATTTCCACCTCCACCAAAACCTAGGCATCCTTTGAATGTATTGCCAGATACATTATTTTTGCCAGAGGCTTAAGTATCAAGTACTATAAAATCATATTTGCTTGTTAGGTTAGCGAGAATATTTTTCCTTAAATTTTCTAAAAGCTGCTCAATTTCATCTTGAATCATAATCTTAGGATATAAAAGCCCAATATCCCCATATATCTTGCCTTTAATGTCTCCTGTTCTCTAGCTGTCAGCATAAATATTAGTTAGTGACTCAGTCAGTGTCCCCTCCATTGAGATTGCCCCTGCCACATTTTACCTAATCTTACAATTTAAAAGATGCGACTTGATGAACTTTAACTTAATGCCATCACCCTTATTGCCCCACAATTCACTTCTATAGATTAACACACTTGTGTTCTTGAATATATTTTTGTTTTACTTCTTTTTGCTATTTACTAATGCCAGTAACATTTTCTAGTCTTAATTGCTACTGCTTTACTAGAGATTATTAACTATATTTTCATGATTATTGCTAGTTTCAGCCATATTTTATGAAGTGGTCAGAGAATTATGATTCATCAATTGCTGTAGAGAAACACCATTCGATTCGTTGAATTTGAAGCTAGATTCGATAACCTCAACATAACCCTCAAAATCACTAACAGCCAGTCCACAGCCTGAATTCTCTGCACTTTTAGTATTTGAAATAATAACATAAGAAGGAATTGTTGATAGCTATTGATTATTTGTGTTTATCTATTGATTAAGTATATTCGTATTTGTGGTAATGAATATTCCATCCTAGTTATTCTTAGCAATAAGATTGTGGTCAATATGGCAAGAGCTATTTTCTATGAATAGACCATGACCATTTTTTATTTCAGAAATTTGATTATTTCTTATTAGAGCTCTTTTTGGATCTCCCAAATAAGGAAAAACATCAATTAGATGAATGCCATGTCCTGTGTTTTTAAGTATATCATTTTTATTTATCTCAATATTCTTAATTTTCAGTTACTTTAGCTAAACTTAGTCTTTGCTTGCTCCATAAATTTTGTTATTGTATATTTTCAATAAAGCATTTACATGCTATGTTTAACAGAAATTTGTACTATTTCTATTGCTAGCATTTTCATTTAGCATCAAAGTCATATATTTTTACTCTTTATATACATCTTGAGTCATCTAAACTATATTAATTGAATAATTCTTTGTTGAAATAATCCTATTTGCCTAAATAAGTATCTTTCTTTAATATGTTAACTATCTTTGTTCTTAATCTTAGACTTTACTATCTCTAGATACCGTAGGAGAGAGTAATTTAATATCAATTGCATCTTCCTCACACTTTTAAATGACACTACTGCTCATTTTGAATATTCTAGGATGTATCATACGAATAGCAGTACCTCTTACATTGATAATTGAACTTTTATCAAGATTTACAATTGAGTTATATCCACCAATAATACCATTGTGAAAATCACTAATAGTACAAGAGTTTAATGATATAACTCCAACGAATTCTGATTATAATTCTAATTCAGGTTTGCCTCCTACTCTTTGCTATGGAATTATAGATGAAAGATTCATTGCAAAACAGCAATCTTCTATATCGTTTTATTCTACTAAATTCATAGATTATCCAGCAAGCTTGGCTTACACAAATTACTCTTTTTCTTTGATTATTTGTAATTCATCTTTAACACTCATAATGTGACAATCAGTAATTTCCAAAAAGCTATCATTTTCAACTATAAAGCAACTTAAGAACCCATGATTTTTCTTATTTAAAAAAGAATCGTAGCTTACATTTGAAGCTCCTTCATATTTATCTTAAATATGTGTATTCTAATTGATTGATGAGGGATTTCTGTTCTTAAGGATGATGCCAGTTGAAACTTTCACCTCCAATTTCTACTGTTATGCATCCTCAGCAGCTTTATTTCTATTGAAAGTGATTTGAACCTCTTAAATAATTGCCACTTCGTTTCTTTTCAAAGAGATAGAGGTATCCTTAGACTACTGCATAAGGATGTGATTGATTGATTGACTCATATTATTTTAAGAACTATTTGGGTTAAAATCAACGAAAATTGAACCTCCACATACTTCAATCACAGTTCCAGGCTTGCCTATTAATGTGATTGGTTTGCTGATATATAATGAATTAACTCTGATAGTTTAAGCTGGCAGTTCAATTATATCTCCTTTGCTAGCATTATCAATGAGCTTTTAAATATGTTTTCCTAATTGATCTACAAATGATTTATCACTTTACTTGAGTTTGAAATCTGAGAGATTTAGCTTATTGTCTCCTTTTTTCACTATACTCATAAAACTCTTCATCGATTAATCTACGCCTGAATAATTTTCTCTCATAGTCAGATCCGAGTATTGATCTCCAAAGAAATGCTCAAGATTCTTGTTATTTGGTTGGTTAAACTGGTTTTCATTTTTCATTTTTTTCTGTAGTTAATTCATTTTAGTTGCTACACTGTGATCAATTGAACTAAGTAGAACATTATCAATGTCTCTTTTTAAATCATTGAGAATATCTTTGTCATCTTAAAAGTATTCATTTTCAACTTCAAACTACTACTATCCATACTCATTTTGATTAATTTATCCGGCTTCTCTTCCCTTAAAAATATTGTTATCATTAAAAGATTTGAAGATTATGTTAGATCTTGAAGTTTGATGACTTGCTTTCTTAATATCTGAGACTCTATTAATATTATGCAATCTAATTTCATCATTCTTATTTTATATAGGGGCTTTTTAGCCTAGCATATGTAGTAAATTTTTTTCATCCTCAGATTATTAATTTGCTTGATTGTTTTAATGGATACTTGAGTTATCCACATTATTTAGGACATTAGAAAAACCATTAGATATTTTTGTTGACTTTTTTTCGAATTAAATAGCCTACTTAAGATTCTCTTAAGGTTAATTTTTATTTATTTGTTGCACTGCATTATCATTATTCATTTTACCTCTAACCTATTTATCAGCATTTATTGCATTTTTATTTGAGCTTAATTTTTGTTTATTATTAATCGCAGTATACTAAGCGAGGGCTGTAGGTTATTTGCTATTTGCAGTTTATATAATCTCTCTGTGTGTATTATATCCTGTCTACACTTTAGTACTGCCTTGGATGCTCTTTAGTTGATCCTTATTGATATCCTATAATACTGAAATCTTATTTTGTCCATTTTTAATCCCTTAGACTCCATTTGCAAGTGACTTTTTATCTTCACTTTTTTACTCAATAATACTCATAAATCGATAGCTTTTTTTTCTTATCATCGCACTTGCAGAAAGATCATAGGTGTTGCTAACATTCAATTTTTCATCTTCACTGCTAAAAGAATCTCCTTCAATTTTATTAGGATAATCTTGAACTTTCTAAGGTTGTATATTCATATGTTATTAAATCGGATTTACTTTTAGCTGATCAATCAGTTTTAGAGGGGAAAATAATCTATATTTCATTAAGCGCACTTAATTACTTACTTAGAAGTTTAACTGAGATCATCTTTTGGAATGTCCATAGAAAACTCGGGCAACTAAGGAAGAGATTGCTTATTTTTATTTTAGATAGGACCTCTATAAGATAACTTAGGGTCATTCTCACTTAATTTGAAGTTATCACTCATTATTTCGGAAACTTAATAAAATAGATTATATTCAAATTACCCTCACTTCAACAAATCAGATTGATCTTTTCTTCACGGGGTTTTGGGGTTTTGGGGTTTTGGGG